AATAAAATCTTAAAAAAAAAAAAAAAAAGAAAATTGGAAATATGGGATAGAGTAATTAAAAGATTAACTTACTCATAAGCCTAGCAGTGTATACATCCCATTTAACAGTGTTGGTGGTTTTTCTCCTTTTCCTATGTGTCCTATCTCATTGGGAACTTGCTACACTTATAGGTTCAGATTCTTCTTTTTCAATTTCATTAAATATTCTTGGAATACATGATTTTTAAAACTGCATGAAAGTCTAGCTCAGGACTCTGGAATAATCTATGTAACTATTCTTGAAACCCATGCCTTTTTTTATTTTCAAAGAACTTAAGTTTTAGAAGATTTATGTAGAATAATTTTTTTTCTTTTCTTTCTTCTTCTTCTTCTTCTTTTTCTTCTTCTTCTTCTTCTTCTTCTTCTTCTTCTTCTTCTTCTTCTTCTTTTACCCATAGAAGAAGTTTAATGATGCTTAGAGTTCAAATAAAAATGTGGCTTCAATCTCTAATTCCTGGCATTGACCCAGTTTCTGTTCATTGTGTGCTGAAAAATACAACCTATGCCTCATTTTATACCTTATTAGATACTGCCATGAACAAGACGTTAAAATCTGGCATTCTTGCATTTATGAAAATAGCAGAGTGATTGCTAACATAGCTTTGTGTAAATGATTCCGTTAGGTCTGCGAATTAAGGTTTTCGAGTTGTGTTTCATATGATCAGCTAATGAATTCAGCACAACTTCCCCAACCCCAACCTTTTTCTCCTGTTTAGCATTTTCCACTTTTTTACTCTGTGATGTACAAGCCCTCCCTGGTTAATTATGTATATATTTAGCTACTGCATGTGTTGGGCTTATTATTGTCATCTAATTAGATGTAACTTGAACTGCTTGCTTCTAGAAAAATCATTAAAAATTCTTTCCTAATGACCTAGAGATGACAAAATGTCTGTAAAGTGTGAAGAAGCAGACAAGCACAGGAACATCGCTCTTAAAGAGTGTTAATCCAGATGCTGCAATCATCTAATTAAACAATATTTTGCTGTCATTAACATTTTCACCAAGGAATTGCAGTTATAATTTCTTTGTCAGCTGTCTCTAGATCACTTTACCTTCAAAACTAAAGTGCCATATAAAAACATTAAATTGGATGGTTTAATTAAAAAGTTTTTTTTTTAAATGAAGAAACAGATCCAATGTTTCTGAGATCTCATTTACTGTGCTTCACTTTTATTGTTTGAGTAGATTAGTGTCATAGGCTTGCAATATTTAATATTCATCTTCTAAGATAAAACCTTATAAGCATAGTTAGGTTAAAGAAAAAAAAATCGTCACTTACCACTGCTGGAAAAGGATAGAACCCTACCAATTACAGCACAAGGTTATTTACTAAACTTCAAATTATCCTTAAAAAAAAAAACAAAAACCATAAAACATAAAGAACAAAAAACAGAACAGAACAGTTGATAAATAGGTACCTCCAAGTAACAGGTATTACTTTGGAAATACTTCACTTCTTTTCCTAATTTAGTAAACAGTCATTTTTTTGTTCATTTCACAGAGATGTTCAGTAAAATAATTAAGAAACAATGCTAAATCCTGAATTAAAAATCTGAAGTACCATTTATTCGTTTTCATCCATGTGATTTTTAAATACATTGTGCATTTTTATTTTAAATAAAAAATTTATATCGACGATCCATAGAGTAAAGGTTTTATGTGAAAATTTTTATTTAAAGAAGTTTGGCTATATGTAAGCACACTGATTTATAAAATTTCTTCTGTTTATTAGAATTTAAATGGTGCTATCAACTTTAGTAATTTAAATATTGCTAAATTTTTGTTAGAATTTATTTTGAAGGAAACTTCCATATATTAGTAAAAGTGAATTGCAAAAAATGTAGGACGGAGCAATTGCCATAAGCTGTAACTGATGTCATCAATCAATTTTGTGTGTGTGTTTTAAAGATGATGGTTTCTTTCTTTGCCTGTTTTGAAGAAATACCATTATATCGTTTCCTATATTAGAAAGTCACTTTTTTTAAGAAGCTCGTGTCTTCAAATATGGTCTCTATTTTTATGCTGTTTGTATTTATATGATACATTTAAGTACTAAGTCAATATAAATGGGCTTTTTATTTATTTTATTTTGATAGTTTTTTTTCCTTAGTCTGTATGGAATTAAACCTTATCAGAAAATTTAAAAACAATTATGGTATCTCATTTTCAGCTATTTTATTCCTATAAGTAATATAAATATATGTTACAGAAATAATAACAACATTATTCTATAAAAATACACTTATCTACTGGAAGACCTATTTTTCATTGAAACCTACAGAATTTTTTTTTTAAGATTTTATTTATTTATTTGACAGACAGAGATCACAAGTAGGAAGAGAGGCAGGCAGAGAGGAAGGGAAGCAGCCTCCCTGCTGAGCAGAGAGCCCGATGTGGGGCTTGATCCCAGGACCCTGGGATCATGACCTGAGCCGAAGGCAGAGGCTTTAACCCACTGAGCCACCCAGGCGCCCCGAAACCTACAGATTTTTAAATAGAATGGTAACCCAGAAAATGACAGGGCCCTAAAAATGCCATGGGCCCAGTTTAAATCCCAGAAATAGCTCTGCCTAGCCAATCTGGACTCTCTGTATCCATACATATATAGAAAAAAAAAATGCCGAGAGTCATCAAGCATCCTAGGCTGACATATTACAATGTAGCTATCAGTAATACATTCCAAATTTTAGAATTTTATACTTTGTACTCTACAGTGATACTGCTTTACCAGAACATTCTCATGCATGAGACCTTAATAAAGATTCCGAACTTGTGTTTTTTCTTATCAGTCTGAATCTTCATAATGGACTTATAAAACAGGTGCATTCGTTGGCTGAGCTGTCTAGCTGCAGAGTCTCCTTCTAGCTTATCATGCAGGTTCACAGTGTCACTCTTTCTCATATATACTGCTCTCGCCCTACATAGCCTTCATCCACCAAAGACACCAGCCTGCAATTTTCCTTTTTTTCACTTGGCTATTTGTTCACCTAAAGTTTGGTTCATCTTGTCCCATTTTTATCACCTCTGTATCCATTCCTTCAACAAACATTTATTGGCAGATGGTATGTTTGGGATTAAAAATGAAACAAAACCCTAGACTCTACATTCACGTGTTCACAGAGTGATGCAGAAGCAGACAAGTAAACAGTGATGCGTATTAGCAGCAACCCCTGTGTCGTGTCCGCATGAGCCCTGTACTGGGGGAACAAAGGGGACCCTAACCTGCCTCTCACCTCAGTCCAGGAAGTGCAAAGTAGAAGGAACGTCTTGCTTTCTATCTGTTACCTCCATCAATTTACACATTTTTTTTTTAAAGATTTTATTTATTTATTTGACAGATAGAGATTACAAGTAGGCAGAGAGGCAGGCAGAGAGAGGGGAGGAGGAGGAGGAAGCAGGCTCACTGCCAAGCAGAGAGCCCGATGCGGGGCTCGATCCCAGGACCCTGGGATCATGACCCCAGGCGAAGTCAGAGGCTTTAACCCACTGAGCCACCCGGGCGCCCCAATTTACACATTTAAAGCAATATATTACTTTGTTATAAAATGTGGATAAAAGGTTGATGTATCATTAACAGATAAAATATTCACCTGCTACAATGTTTATGAAATGAATGAATGAATTTGATCTGATGCTTGTAGTAGTAGATTTAGTTCTCCCTTGGATCAGGGTTGGTTTTTTTCCTATTATACAACCACATTAACCAATTGCTACAAAAAGTAGGTATCATTTAATGACAATTCTTGATGCCAGATGAGATAATGTATGCATATCTATGTTACTCTTAGGCTCTGTGTGATGTGGGCACCAAAGCATTCATTCTAGATGAAATCCGTATCATTAAATACTGGGGAAATCGCCCTTTTGTATGAATTCAAATGGGAATTTAGAAAGTTACCCACGATCAGATTATAACATATTTTTGCAAAAAAACAAAACAAAAACAAGCAAAAAACAAAAAACTTTTGCAACAAAAGTTTCCTTTGGCCCCGTTTCTTTAAGAGTGATGCTCTTAATTTCATCCTATGCTATTCCAGTACCAGTTTATGGGGGTGAGCCAGTGCCGTGTGCTTCCTAAACTTTCTACCTTCCCACTGTGCTTCCATAACCTACCTGAGCCTCTTAAGTCATTCTATCAGAAAATAAACAGCAAACCCAACCTAAGGTGCTGCAGCTCTCCACTGAAGTGAAACAACATAACACAAAAAGAAAATGTGTGAACCAACCTCAAAGAGTGAAAAGACAATACGCGAGACATCTGCCTCTGAACTTCTTCATACTGGCTTCAGATGACTTGTTAACATGTACATTCTCAAGTTATTCTTGTTTTTGTAATTCTTGGTATAAGCTCATATAATATTCTTTACACTGGCGATGTAACTTCTAGATATATAATCACTGTAGTAGAATACCATCACATAATCTGAAGATGTACAGATCGGCAGGATCCCTCATCCGTGATCACTTTCGGGGGTCTTCACCAACAAAGCTCTGCTTTTCAGGTGCCGGTAATGTCTTCATCAGAATCCGCAGAAAAGCGATGGAGAAGGGAGGTCCCCAGGTGGCAGGTTGCAGTGGGTCAGGACCGGGAGTGGGACATACAACTTCTGCTCAGGTTCTGTCAATTAGAACGGAGTACCATGCCTATAGCTGCTTGTAAGGAAGGCTGAGAAATGTGGTCCAGACCAAAAAGAGAAACAAATTACAATAAACGGCTCTCAGTCTCTACCACAAGCCTATATTCTAGAAAGTAGTTCTAGTTACTCGTGTCTTAATTATTATTGAGTGAGTTCACTTGAAATACATTGTTATTAGAGTGCTTTTGATTAAACCACAACAAAGTTCAATAAATGAGTTATTCTTTTCTGAAATCCAATAGTTTCCTTATATAAGAACAAGAACAATTTCATAAGCACTTAGTGCATATACAGATTTTCATTTCTCTTTTTCATTACTAGGACGGACATATAATGACCTGAACCAATATCCCGTGTTTCCATGGGTATTAACAAACTATGAATCAGAAGAATTGGACTTGACTCTTCCAGGAAACTTCAGGGATCTATCAAAGGTAACTTTCAAATACATTGAAGTCAATTTTCTTCATAAAACTTTATTCTCAAAGTATTTCTACCAGGTATGTATATGTATCCAATATAGCCAATTAATGTTTATTAGAAAGAAAACCTGGGTCTTCTCCTTTTGTGGTCAACATCTAAATCTCATTAATTCTTAGCATAGGTATTAAGCTACAAGAAGATAAATGAGTACTAGTATAGGGAAAATGCAATACATATTTAAGAAAAAGCAGATGTAAGGGGAGGTTGCTCAGATATCCTTCGTTGTAAAGGTCAAGGTAAAAAACCTGAAATTAGAACAAGGTGTGGTTGCAAATTATTTCTGTGATATATTTCTTAGGTGATAAGACATGTAATCTTGACCATAACACACACACACACACACACACACACACACACACACACACACACACACATACACACACTACATAGGGGAACATCCTAGTGAAAAGAAAGTAGGACACAATAATTCATCACAGATCTGTTAAGATGCAAGAAAGAAGATCTGGCCCCAAAACTGGCAAAATAAAAATTACATAACGGGGGATAAGAATAAAAAGCAAATTTGCTATTAGTTTACCTCATTTGTCCAGAGGAGACTTAAGTGGAGTACTTAATTATTGGAAGTGCAGTAAAGGATTAGGAACTAAGCCCCCAAAAAACTTCTCTGTAGCCTAAGCTGATGTCAGAGCCAGACCATTAAGTTTAATATGTATACTTCGGCCATTTTAAGCCTCAGCCCCCATTCACTCTGAATTTTGTTCTTTTTTTTTTTTTAATTTAATTTTATTTTTTCAGTGTTCCAAGATTGATTGTTTATGCACCACACCCAGTGCTCCATGCAGCACGTGCCCTCCTTAGTACCCACCACCAGGCTCACCCATCCCTCCCCCCCCCTCCCTTCCCAAACCTCCAGTTTGTTTCTCAGAGTCCACAGTCTCTGGTGGTTTGTCTCCCCCTCCAATTTCTCCCAACTCACTTCATTCTCTTTTCTGTCATACTTGGTGGCCTGCTTTAGCGTTCCACAGCAGGTTACAAGGCGTATGGGTGAATGTTTGGGTTGGGTGCGGGGAGGGCTGAGAGCATAACCATTGCAGCCAGTTTGGAAATGATTCCACAGATGGTTTTTAACTCAGCACACCTTCTCTTGCCTGCTCTCTTGCCTTTGAGAACTAGACCTACCTAAGCTGAAGTTTTGTATTCTACTGCTTACTAGCTATGTGACCTGAAGTCACTTTTCCTTAGCCTGCGTTTCCACATTTGTAACAGGAGAACAGCACTACTATCCTAAGCCACACAGTTGCAAAGATCAAATGACATGTGCATAAAGAATGTAACAAATAGCAGGGAGGACATGGGGAGTTAGGAGAAGGGAGTTGGGGGACATTGGAAGGGGAGGTGAACAATGAGAGACTATGGACTCTGAAAAACAATCTGAAGGGTTTGAAGGGGGGGGGGGGTGGGAGGTGGGGGGAACCAGGTGGTGGGTATTAGAGAGGGCACGGATTGCATGGAGCACTGGGTGTGGTACAAAAACAATGAATACTGTTATGCTGAAATAAATTTTTAAAAAATGATAAAAAAATGAGATTACTGTATGAGAAAATAAGAAATAAAATAGATAAAATACAAAAAAAAAGAATGTGACATGGTTCTTGGCGCATTGAAGCACTTCGTGATTATTAGCTATTAGTATTACACATGGAATATTTCTTAGCCCATTTTGAAGCCCGTGTACTAATATTTGCATATCCTTATCTATCATTCACTCTTTAGTTCTGTTATTTTATGTGACTTCCTTATCTAATCTCCGTTGCTAGCTCACTGCTAATTTTAGTTATGATGTTATAGGTACAAAAGGGACCTGAGAGGTCAGTTAGTCCACACTTTACTGAGAGTCCCACATCTGGGAGAAAACAAAATACTAGCAACTGAATTCCAATATGGTTTTCAAATATAGTAATTTTTCCAGTTCAAATAAACTGAACAAAAATCTTGTGTCATTTATCATGGACAAGTAATTAATTATTCGGGCCCAGGTAGATAGATGGAAGTGTTGTAATTCATGGGGTCTGCCCTCTGGAGCAAATCTAGTTATAAAGTATCTGAATCATAAAACCAGTCTCTGCAAAGTTAAATAATAAGGTCCGATATTTTACAGAGAGATCTACATAAGAGGTAGTAAGTAGTAGTTAAGAATGAGAACGCTGGAGCTGGATGGACTGGGTTCAAGTCTTAATTGTGCCATTTACTGGCTTCAGGGTCTTAGACAAGGTTAATTTTCTCTTTGCCTCAGTTTCTTCGCCTGTAAAATAGGGACAATAATAAAAGGCTTATTGTGAGGATTTGATGAGTTAATAAGTGTAAAGAACTAAACAAAAAAAGTGTAAAGAACTTGGGATAGTGCTTAGCCTATCAATATTAGTGAACACTGACACTGTATGTTTAAAAATGATGTAAATCATTGATAGAGGTCATATATCTTATCTTTCAAATATTGATGACAAATACATACTGTTATATTCATATTAGGATCTTAATGTTTGAAGATATACATTTTTGAAATGACTTGCCAAAGTTACGGTATAATCTTTGGGTATAAAACAAAGCCAAACTAACTCATCAGTGTGAGGATAAAAACTGTCAGACTACTTCTTTTTTTTTTTTTAAGATTTTATTTATTTATTTGACAGAGAGAGATCACAAGTAGGCAGAGAGGCAGGCAGAGAGAGAGAGGAGGAAGCAGGCTCCCTGCTGAGCACAGAGCCCGAAGTGGGGCTCGATTCCAGGACTCTGAGATCATGACCCAAGTCAAGGCAGAGGCTTTAACCCACTGAGCCACCCAGGCGCCCCTGTCAGAATAGTTCTTTAACACAATCTCGTCCATATATGTTTTATTTAGCATTATTCAAATGACTGTTACACACTAGTCACTATAAAATATATATATAGTACAATTTATGTTGATTCTCAAGTAGCATGATACACGGTATTAAAACCTCAAGAGCTGACTACCACTATGGCTATGTTAGATATTTTTTTTTAATTACTTTAAAAACAGGGAAGGAAGGCCTTTTTCTTTGAAATGAACTAGAATATTGTAGTGATAGGAAACTTCTCAACTAAGTTTCCTTTACTTCCTCTGTTTATTTATTCATTTTTAGTCAATAAATGTTTATCACATACTTCCTATATGTCAAGCACTGTACTAGCTGAAAGGATATACAGGAGTTAATAAAACAGACTTAGTCACAGCCCTTTTTGGGAAGAGTCCAGTCCAGAGTTGAGATGAAAACTCAGGTAGTTACCAGAAATCTGAGGCCAGCATATCGACAGTATAGTGGGGACGGTACCAAATTGGAGAGTTCATACTTAACTACTCGAAGACACGGGACTCCAGTGTTCTTGCAACACTGTCCCAACCAAAGAAAGTACAGCCTTCATTATGATTAATATAGATAAGAGAAAGCATACAGTAAAATATTTACTAGTAATTATAGATTTTTAGTTTATCATATAGAAAATTTTAGTATATCATATAGAAAAGATGACAAACTAAAGGAGGAAATCACTCTTTCTAAAGTAACTAGAATATGTAAACATTCTTCAGGTTTTTAATGCTGACCCATTTAACCTGTGTTCCTTTTGGCAGAACATTTCCCTTTGTAACTCACATGTGCTCTCCTGAGTTTATATAATGTTAAGTAAGTAGAAGAGGTAAACAGACAAGGCAGAGTGAATACTAACCATGGAGTCCTTCATGTTGTGAACATTTGAACCCATGAGCTCTTAAAAGATAGATAGCTTTTTTTTTTCAGTTCTGCTATGTTCCATGCTTTAGTAATTTGTTCTTTATATTCTGTCAGACTAACATGATAGGAAAATGTTAGCAAATTAAAGCCTCCTGATGTGTTAATAAATTACTCTTGCATTGTTCCCATGCTTCATTGAATTTCTTAATAGGAACTTCTTACAAATGGGCTAGAAACCCAAAACTATCCTGTATAAAAATCATTAATAAACAATATTTTAATGTATGAAAATATGTCATATTACACACCTAACGGGAAAGTGACATTTGAAGTATAATAATATAATTGGAAGGAGAAACTATTAATAATGAAATATTATTGTAATGAGATGGCCACTAAGAAGCACAGGAAATTCTTGTAGGTATAATCAGTACTACAGAAAGAAATTTTTAATAGAAAGTTTGTTAATCTTCAAATCTCAAGCAAGAATTTAAATATCTGAATGATGTTATTGACCAGGAACCCTCTAAAAGATCTCTAAGAGCAAAAGAAGTTGTTCCTAAGCAAAGATTGTGACCCATGGAATAATTTCTAGTAATGAATAATTCTAGAATTTGTTTCATTAAACAACATTTGAAGCCCCAAATAATTTTTATGTTCTCAAATCTTTAGAATCTATTCTTTATTCAAAAGAATAAAAAATAAGAAGCTTTGAAATATATAATAAATAAAATATACAATCCTAAGAAATATCAAAATATTTTCATCTTTATATCCCCACACTACACTGGCTTCATGAAATTCTATGTCATCAGTTAGAACTTGTGGACAGTATAGTAGTAAAACAGGTGCCTCAGTTCCACACCTCACATCATACAACCCAATGAAAGAGCGAGCATCTCAGCAAAGTCATGCTCATGAAAGACAGAAAAACTTTTCTTTCTTAGAAACCCCAAAAATGCCTCCTTGTGTGTCATTGGCGCTGCTTAACAGCAGTAGAATATGTTCACTGGAGATGAGATAATCCAATTATTTCCCATGGTTGGAGTCAATGGTAGAGTCAGGATCACACCAGACACCTGTCAAAGAAGGATGGGCTGAGAGTTGACCAAAGGAAATTTGGGTTTCTGTTCCCTAAAGAAAGGGGACTGAGTTGTGGTCAGCAAACAGCTCTCTGTTATAAAGTGAAAAATAGTGTATCTGAGAGCTTCTTCTTTCCGATTTCTATAATCTTAGAGAAT